AACTTTAAGGTATTTTAAATCAATACGCACTTATTAACAGCTCTGCTAATAAAGTAAATTTACCTAGCGTGTTGTTATTTTTTAATGCAAAGAAATCCTCAAAAAAAATATTTAAATTTGCAAAACAATAATTTGTTGAGATGACAGTGCTACTTGAGCAATTTATGAAAAGTATAAACGTCATAAGCACAGTTTACGTCAAAAAATTTCAAAGTGACTCTACCTTATTTTTTTGTATCATGGGAGTTGGCCATCTTTTAGCTTCGCGCTGCAGCTGCAACGAGCTATGTGACATGCTTTGTGCATTTTCATACAATTCATCTCATCTGTCAAAGTTAATCTGTCACGTAAAGCGAAGAAAGTGTTTTATCTGGCATCAGCTAAATGTTTTTATAGGAGAGTATATGAAAAAAGTGGAATCGGTCGGACTCCTTTCTTTAGATACAAATATTTTGCAGCTACTTAGATTTTGGATAAACTCAACTGGGATAAGATTTAACTCAAAAGCCTTATCCATTTCGTCGTTATAATAAACTGATTTGAACTAAAAATTCAAATGTTCTCTGGAAGAATTCAGAAGATATATTGATTATTATTAATTTTTCGTATGACTTCGTAACTTTTCTAACAAAGTCCAAAAGCTATCCTACAGTAAATACTTTAATTGCAAAAAAGCATTTAGTAATGCCAAAAGTTTGCTAAGACCGCGAAATCTCAGAAGGGTATTTCGTAGGGACAATTTTCTAAGAAAAAGTTTCTATCTTATTTTACATCAAAATGGGTTTATTTTGTCAATTTCAACCATAAAAAAAGGAATATATCTTTTAATATTCTGGGAAAACTATTAAGTCTTACGTCCAGCTAGAGCAAAACCTTATTCCATTTACATACATACATATGGGTGATTCCACCGTCACGCGTTGGACATTTGTACAGAAAAATTTTCTTTCTTTATTAAATTTAAGTATTAAGTACTCAACAATTCTACGTGACGAGGAAGACAAGGCAAAATACATTCAAATAGTGGAAGAGTACGAAAAGTTACAGACAGATCGTGCAGCCACACTCGAGGCCACCGAAGCAAAGAAACGGAAGCGCTCTTATAATGAAGGCGGCCAAGGGGCCATTACAATGATGGCTAAGCAAGGAGGTGATGCGGAGTCCGCAGCACCCACGAAGCATCGCTATTTTACTAACGCCGCCAGAGACCACCTACAGGCGGCGATAATAGATGAAAATAGCAAGACACCGCTGGCAGTGCAGCAGAAATGGGTGGAGATTGATGTGAGGCTGTCGAGCCTCGTAATGAACTAAGTACTCTACAACCCCGAAGGTCCTCACCTAGAGTTCGACTCGTCGGAATCCCTACGGGGATACCGTGTAGTCAAGTGCGCGGACCAGTTCTCCCTGGATTTCCTTGATGGATGCGTCGCTAAGATCAGCGACACAGATCAGTCGGATTGAAGCTCAAGCTGATCTCAGCTAAGGAAATTCCAAGGAGACCACGTGCGCGCATTTGGCTGCCTCCGATGGATGAACCAGGCGAAAAGTTGCTGCGGTGTCTTAAGCTACATAATAAAGACATACCGGCGATCGAGGAATGGAAGCTTATAAGGGTTGAAGAGCCAAGAAGGCCTGCAAATAAGCACATTCTGCTATCTATTTGCGCAGAATTACTAGACGCCTTAGAGGAGGCTGACTATCGGTTTCTTATCAAGAACGGCATCAGAATCAGACAAATTATAGTCGTCGGCTGCGAGGCGAATGCAAGGCATCCAGTATGGAGTAGTTCTAACGGAGAACGATCGAGGTGACTCTTTACTACACTTCTTATTAAATAGTTACTAGCCTAAGCATCTGCAATAGAGGTAATACACCCACATTCATATTCCCGAGTTCAAACCGGTTGTCCGGATGGGAGGAAGTGCTGGATCTAACCCTATTGTCAGAGAACGATAGCGTGTCTGTAGAAGAGTGGAGAGTATCTGATAGGCCTTCAATGTCTGATCACCGTCTGATCCCCTTTAATCTGCACATATTCCCATCCAGAAGGGACTGGAGAAGATCCAAGATGGATTGCGGTGTGGGAGCAGGAGTCTACTCCAAGTAACTCGGCGTGGCTCTGTCTCTACCGTTGGGAAATAATACAAGCATCTTCCAATCGGAAGTCCTAGGGATCCTAGAATCCTGCAAAATCCTAGGCAACAGAGTTGGACACAGGAGTAAAGCAACAATATATTCTGACAGCCAGGCGGCGCTATTGGCAATAGCGTCACCGGTTACCAAATCTAAGCTAGTTGGGGAATGCAAAGTAATATTGCGTTCAGTGTCTATGTCAAATACCGTCTCTCTTGTCTGGTTTCCCGGACATAGGAACATACAAGGCAATGGCAAGGCGGATGGATTGGCGAAGGCGGGAGCCGGTTTGGATGAATCCCAGGCGGTGGCACTGGGTTGCCCCCTGGGAGTAGTCCAAAGAGAGATTACTACGCATTTCCTTGAACTGGCTAGACGCAGGTGGTCAGATATACAGACTTGTAAGATAGCGAGAAAACTATGGCCTGACCTTAACAGAGCGAAAACCTTGAACCTGCTTAGCAGATCAAGGCCAGAGGTATTTAGAATTATAGCAACCATCACGGGCCATTGGCCCATAGGCAAACATGCGC